CATGACAATCGAGGAGCTATTCACTGAAATTTTCACTGAATGTGAAAAATTCGAAATTTTTGAAAAAGTATCAGGGGAACATGACAATCGAGGAGCTATTCACTGAAATTTTCACTGAATGTGAAAAATTCGAAATTTTTGAAATAGTATCAGGGGAACATCAAAATCGAGGAGCTATTCACTGAAATTTTTACTGAGAGTGAAAAATTCGAAATTTCTGAAAAAGTATCAGGGGAACATGAACGTCGAGTAGGTATTCAAGTTTTAAACAATATTTCGATTGATTCACCATTTACAAAAGAAAAAATTGGAATTATTTTGAAAAAAAAAATGAATGATGGCGGGATCGAACCCTGGCCATCCGCGTGGTAGGCAAGCACGCTGCCAATGAGACCACGCGCTCATTATACGAATAAATTTTCATTAGTAGTATATCTTCAATATATTGAATAATTTTTTTCATTTGATATTCCACAAGATGTTGCTTCTCTCTTCCGCTCGTTCTGCAGTCGACTAAATTTCAGTAAAACAAATAAAAAACAAAAAGCATTCATACCGCAGAAAATAAAATTCACCCCGCCGGCTTGATGGACACCCCAGCATTGCGTGTCGCGCCCTCCTCTTCGCCCTCCTCTTGGGGTGCAGTACTACGATGCCGCCGGGGTCACTCAAACCCCCAGAACTGAGCCTCTACTTTAATCAATCCTCTTTGCTCATTACGGTCGAAATTTGCCCCCATATTCCCCCCACCTCCAAGAAAGGCTTTCTCTTTCAAATGCACTTTAGTCCACCTAAAAATTGGCATTTTTTCAATTTTGCCTCCCCCCCATGGCTGGTGCTGACGAGAGAGAAGGAACAGTTCTTCAGCCAAAAGTTTACTTAGAAACAATATTCTTATTTATTTTATTTATCACACACCAATATACAAAAATGAAACGTATTAATATTTTTTTCGGAATACAATATACTACTAGAATTCAAATATATTTCAATAAAGATAGATCTGAGTATCTTACAAGATTAGAATGATGGTTCGTCAATTCTGATTTTCTCCTTCAATATTTTTGCTCTTCAACTTGGTAAACAAAAAAAAAATTTCTACAACACTATTTCACAGTTGGCACAGAAATTTTTAGTAGAAAAGACCATTTTCTACTCATCGCTCCAGATATATTTCAGTATAAATAAAAGTATTAATTTATAATTGTTTTTTCTTAATTGATATAATCTAGAGAGTAAAATTCTCTATAGTTACTTTATGAGTCAAAATAAGGGCTCAGGTTTGTTTCCTAACTATATATATATATATATTTATATATTGTATGTATAATATAGCACACTACGCCGCTCTCTGTTTTTCACGTCGGAAATGTTGGGAATGAAATCTTTAACATCAAATTATCAATAATAAACTTTCAAGCGCGATCGACCCACTCTGTACTCTCCTGTTTGTAATAAAATAATAATTACACCATCTAATTGCGATAAATGAAACTGTCGTTTCGTCGTATATGACTCAAATCTGAGCCCAACCAATTGCTCACAATTTATTGAAAATCACTAATACCATTTTTCTAATAAAAACATGGAATGTTTAGCATTCATTTAATCCGACAACGCACGATTATATCACAAGAAAGATTCAAATGCTCTGTACATGCTCATTTTCTCCGGAACATCAGATGTTCTCCATTATTTATATAATCCATATTAATTTTTTTCTATTTTTCTCGTCAATTTTCACCAATTTCTTTCCATTCACCTTAAATTTAATCTCCTTCCTTTGTTTGCGTTCCACCCTCATTTTAATTAACGTAAATTATCTAGAGTTTAGTTACAAAGTTAGATATGTTTCAGGTGAACCTGATTAGTATTGTACTTGATACGATTCCAATGCGCTCATGATTGCTAAATTCCAATGAAACCAATGCACATTGTCGTTTTTATTTATTATACAATAAAATCGCATTATCATCGTATTTACAAATACCGATCGCAAAGAGTGATCCTTCTTCTCACTCCTTAAGACTTGTTGTAATTGGCACGAAAATTGGCACATCATTAATGGCAAATATTTTCCATTGGCACAATTATTGTTTACAGTTGTTTATAGTGTGATCCGATTAGTACGTTTTCATTCTCTTGCTGTTGCATTTGATATGGAACAAACGATGAAAAGTAAAAAAAAAAGAGAGAATAACCCGCCACCCAATTATTTCATGGGATTCACCGAGCAAAGGAGAATGACCAGATAAGTAATTCATGGAAAATGAGTAGAGATATAAATCCGAATGGATGAAGAGTTGAGTTGAGTATGTTAACAGGATAACAACATTCGCCATTCGAGTATATTTATCATCACGAGAGCTATATAAATAATAATTATTCAATAGCGGTTGAGTCCCAGGGGCGGCGAATTCACCTCCGCGAGAGGATTTTAAAATAATGATAAAAAGGAATATTTACAAGAGAAAGAGGGAAATATGAATAATTACGTATAACATGTAAAGAAAAATTGATATGGTCCAGGCTGATATGAATTTGTCTGCGCCTTTGTGGACTTGCACTAATTTGCATTATCGATAATTAAAGAATACAGCTGTTGGAGGAGAAAATGTACAATTGAGTTAAATGAGTATTCGTTGGATTTGACCAGCCAATCTCCAATCGAAGTACACAGTTGTGGTCCATACTGAGCAATAACTACACATTCGTATTGTAGGGCCAAGAGTCGCTGATTGACGTGACTACGTTAGAGATAGGCGGGTCTTCTGGTCGTCACTTTTTCATGTCATTCATCAGGGAATTGTCCTTGTTCTTGTTAGCATCTAGGCTCGACTGCTGACTGCTTGTTACTCCGCTTCCATTACCCGGATACATCTTCTCCATGTGATTTAGTGACTCGGTTAGGAACTTCTGCAACAATTACATCACCCTTTTTAATTAGACCTTGTCAATTTACATTGATTATGGACGGACAGTTGTGCAGAGACAAATCGCACGAACTTTATTTAATACGTCAAATGTTAAAACCAGATGAATTTCTTTTTCTTTTACTTCGCCACCTGTTTCTCCAGAGCCCCTCATAAATGAACGAGCATAAGCCAATGTTCATAACGTACCTCTTCATAACTCAGATTTTCCATCGCTAAAAAACTTGGCGATGAAAATTCCGCTATCTCCATTAGTACTAGAGACATTCATCAAAAACTCCACGAGCAGTTGAGCAAGTTCATCTCGTTTTACCACTTTTCTTTTATCACTTCCCTACAGGAATTATTATCATTCTCCAGGAAATAGTTTCGTACCTGAATTGCTGTGAGGGCAGCAACGATTGCTGGACTACCAAACCCATGCGATATCAACGAAAAATTCGTCAAATGTCTTTGTATGCTTGGGTCGAGAATGTGGGGTGGTCGAGTATTACACAGGGGCGATCTGTCTTGGTTCAACAGGTCCATCAGCTCTTTGGTGATTTGTCTGGTTGAAGAAAAAAAAAAAAAAGGTATCGTCAGTATGTTTTTAGCCTGAATGTTGTTCAAAGCACCAGGCTCTCAATGCGGAAGAGACTCACTTGGTGGCATGGAGCAGCTCTTTCCTCCTGTACGAGTCCTGTGGCTCACAATGCTGTCGACTCAGATATTCGGCGACTTGTTTCGCCGGGAACTCGGTCTCACAGACATACCCAAAGTCTCGGGCAAGGTGAATAGCCTCTCCTGTTGAAAATACAAATAAAAAACCATGAAAATAAAATGAAGAGAATACAAGATAAAAAGTGTGCTACTTTCGAGTCTGGTTCATACACATGATTGTTCCCTTTTTTTCCCCCAGCCAGTTCATTCATTTCTCTTTTTACCCATTTTTTTCTCGGGATTCCTTATCGCCCGACATTGGAGATTCGCTTGCTCTTCAGATCATCAATGTGATCTTAAAAATATTACATTTGCGCACTCTCTTCTATCAATTTTCAAAATGTTTTCCATTTATTTATTTATTTATTTATTTATTTATTTATTTTTTGCGGTAATGCTTGATTGTTAGATCGTCCCACGAATGTCGAAACCTCATCTCGTGTGATTTCTTACGCGTTCCAATGCCACTAACGTATATATGCTCCACATATAGAGTACAAAGTGGAGTGACACATGTCATGTTGCCGCGAGCACGACACGATAATGATGCCACTTGGCGAGTGTCGTACTCTGGCATCCTTCGATAAATTTATCCCCCCGCAAATGTTGATACAGTTTCACGTCAATTTCATATTTGTTCTTTCTTTAGGTTCATTCTCTTCCCCGTTTTTATAATCATCAATAATTTTTGTTTGTAAAATACAAAAGCTCTCAGGCCCCAGGCAAAATGTGAAAGTCTGAGATTTATTATAACGAATGAATTCTGTAACGAGCTATTATTTTTGTGTCGGTGACACTCGTCATGAATTCATTGTTGATCACATGATTTCTCTCGCTTAATTGACTTTTTTCATTTTAAGCTGTTAATATCTGGGCGTGGATTGGCAAAACGAGAGCCATGATATTTTTTCTGTTTGAAATTTCCATTAATTTCCAGCAATTGTTGATTATTCCCATTGTCGATAATTTTCAATAAAAATTCTGTAACTCCAAGGACCTGCGGAAAATTCCAAAGAGAAACTTGTACCAGCGCGTAAACAGGGATTAGTCACCAGAGACTATTATAGGGGATAGTATTCGGGGGAATGGAGAATCGAGAATAGCATATATGTATACATATATCCATACATATATATTAATGGCGCGTCATTTGCGGTCTTTGTGAACGTGATCGGCGATCTTGTATATAAACTGCCAAGGGCGCTTGAGTCTTCCCCATCCACTGGAATACAACATTATCCCCCAGGATGATTATCGATTCAAACCGAAATTCTCAAACTTTTGCAATGAAAGTTGAAAAAAATCCACCTATGAAGACTTTTACGAGTGCCCCCACCGAATAAATCCATTTAATATTCCCAACAATTTATGCCTTGTAATTGAGAAAGACTATAAAATGGTGACTGGTCGTTTCCGTGGGCTATTGAAGACACCTCATTGGATGAGACTTAACCGATAGCTTCATCCACACACCCAGTAACATCACTAATATTCACTCCAAGTGGCTGAAATGAGTACGTCATGAATGGTGACGGTAAAGACGAGTGGTTCCCACACTTTCGCGGATAAAAGCGTGGGCGGAGCGTTCTCCATAAAAAGCCTACATTTGAAAACATTTAAATTTCTTTATGTCGCTTAATTGTCCATCACTGACCTTGTCCTGCCATTGCTATTCTCTTTGAAATTCATCTCTATCCAGCAGAAATAGCGTACACATGAATAAACGGAATGATCTTGTTGAGTGGGCGCTAAAAGTGAGCAACGAGAAATAGTAAGAAAATAGCGGGGGCGTATGGCACATGCCATCGATGATGTGTCCCATAAATTGCCACATCACCGACAACTCGAGACATCCCTCTGCATCACTCTCTCAACAAAAAAACCAATAAGAGGGCAAATTAATTATTGAGCTTAACCGATATATTCAAGTACTTGCTCCCTAGTCATTGGTTGGTTGTCAGGAGAAAGAGCCTACATTGAATTTTTTCTTTTTATCGGTGCACAGCTATCATAAATTATAATCAACGTGTCAGGCGTCAGCCAACACTCTGACGAACTTCGATGATGTCGTTAAAAACGTTGTTGCGTGGCGATTGACAGGCACGGAGCACTACTCCTGATTCGCACGCCAAAAAACATTGACGACTCAATCTATTATTTTTTTTTTATCATCGATTTCTACCATGTGCCCCTATAAGACGTATTACAACGAGTCGATCCTTTCCGTCATGTTCAATATTAGATTATCTTCCAGAGGCATCATCCAGTGCCTTTGCAAAGGATCTTTTATCATTTATTGTTTATCACTATTATCAACTTTCCGCTGAATTTAACACAATTTTGAGAGTTATGATGGGAAATAATCAATTTTGATACGTACCTTCAACAAGTGATGTTAACAGCGTTACATTGGCTGCCTTCCTCCGTCCGGCGGGCAGATTCAAGCCAATCTTCTCCAACTTTTCCCTCAACAGTCGGCCACCGTTTTTCGATTTCGCCCTGTAATGATAAATCCACAAAAAAATCTCACTGCTTGACTTAATTGTTGAAATTTAATGAATCAAGTGAAATAACTTTTTATTGCAGCCTCCTAAATTTCGAAAGACATCATCAATCACTGGTTGCCATAGCCACTCGGGTATAATGCCCGCTGAGAATAAAGAAAGCATTCCAGAAATAATAATAATTAGCATAATTTGTATACGCAGTGTCATCGGAGGATTGAGCAAGTCTCGACGGAGTACACGAAGAGTTTCCATTGGTGATTCAATCATCCATCATTCCTTTTGCTCGGTCATAACGGTCCAAAAGCACATCCTCTCACTGAGAGTGCGCTAATAGTTTGTATTAAAATTCCGACAAAAGAATAACTTTTCATTTTTCTCGTCAAACGGATGAGAGAATTATTACGTATGCAGACGTGACGACGAGCGTACTTGTGTCATTACCGATGATTGTCTTGAAAACGGGCGCATTTTCTCAATCTCCAGTTGCGGAGGCTAAGGTATATATGTATCAAGGGTGTATCTCATGGTCTTTCTCACTTCTGATTACTCCAGCAGTCCCCCTCTCGACCCTCGATTGCGGATTGTTAGTCGTCTGTCGACGACGGGCACGATCATCTCGTTTACCGCCATATTCTTCGAGCATCTTCAATCTAATGAGTGGTGGGGACTTTAATCGTTGCGTTACCACGCAAGTGTTTGATGATAAAGATGTCGGAGAATTTGTCTCAATTTTCCACTTTATTTTTTACTCTCAAGAGAAATATCAATCTTGGGATTCAATCGATTGGGATTGCTTTGAGTTTAAAAATTTATCATTACTTTTTTGGTGGTCCAAAATAATCCTCTTAATCACCTCCGCATTCGAGATTAAATATGATTAATTCCAACCTTCGCTGGGGTAATGAGCGGTAGTTAATTTAATCGTGGTATTTTAAAGTAACTGTTTGATGATAAAGATGTCGTAGAATTTGTCTTAATGTCGTAATTGATTTTTTATTCTTAAATTAAGTACCCTACACCGTCGAATTTCATCTGAGAATGAATTTTTGGTCGACTCACTAGAAACGGATACATAAAATAGCCTGGAATTTCGATCCTGATGACTGCTATTTATCAAACCTAATTGGAGCCTAATCCATTGAATAGTTTTTAGATAAGATTTTTCTACCAAGTATTAAAAGATTAATTATTGAATTCCTTCGATTAATTAATCATGATTACCTCAACGACTTCTTCTGGAATTGAATGTAATCAATCAGTTCACAGCACTTTCCTCAGAGATGCTAGCGAGCCCAATTAAACTGTTTTCCCTCGTTAACATCTCACTATGAAGAGAGAGTAGTTCAAAGAAATTCCCCCAATTTCCCCAACAATTCTCCATTTTACATTATCCCTATTACTTCAAAAACTAGAAAACAAGATAATTTCAATAGAATGAACAATTGACTTACATCATGTCTTCAAGGTGTACCCATCAAATTTTGTTAATTCACTCAATTTTTCCAATAACTGAGAAACAATTATCCCGAAATAATTTATTTTATGTTAACATGGGATATTAACAGAATGATTGCATTATCTTCAATAAAATATCTGGATCTCCTTTTCCCAAGAATACCTGAGCAATTACCCACTTGTTAATCCTCGAAAAAAAGCAGCTGAGAAAATAGGAGTGAATGCGGAAGTCGGCAATATGGGACGAAATATGAGAGGCATAATAAGTGCGCATAATAAATGGATCTATATCGATGAGCGGCATGTAGACACGTTAAATTTATGAGATGCACTGTTTCTACGCCCAAGGCAAATCCCTCATCGCAGAGAGTGCAGCATCCAGCGGCTATTCGCCTACAATTACTTCAATTTGCATATCGGAATAAACGCGTTTGATAGAAAAACAATTGATACCAGAATACGGCGTGGAATAGAATAGGTGAAAAAAAAAACATAATAATAATTCATAAAGTACAAGTACCGAGTGAGTGGCTAATTTATCCATGCCTGGTGATGATAAAGGATTGCGTAATGGATAGTTTTGTGGGGCCGACGAGAGAGTGCCGCGCAAACGCTCGAGATCCGAGATAAAAGACACGATGCGAGAGAGTTTCCTCCTGGGAAAGTTATAAATCAGAGGGCTGTCTGTGCACCTTGGGCCTTACACCGTCGGGTGGATACCCAAGGCGTTACAAAAACCCGGTATATTAATTTACCGTTAGATAATACCGTTATCATAAGCCCACTCCTCGGTCCCTTTTTTTTTTAAATAAAATCTTAAGGCTAATTCGTTACATCGTCGTTTGATTTTAATTATAATGAATTGGTCGCAGGATTATTATGCGGATTCCTGCGTATGTCATATCATGGAGGATCTTGGATTCTCTTATGATTCCAGGAATGATGGAGACAAAATTCAGTTGGAGGAGATTGATATTTAGGCATAAATCATTTTTTGATTGACGGACTGACAAATTGAGGGCTCAACTGGAATTTAGTAATCTCGGGATACTGAAATGTAGATCGGAAGCACGTGGATTTTGACTGAATGGGATAATTCTAATATACATATCGTGATTGATATATTTACCTTCGTAAAACACCACCGAGTAGGCTAGCATTGAGACACTCTGGAGGTGACAGCCGTCTCTGTACCTCGGCGACCGTGACTTTGTACTTGCTGGTGCTGCTTAATAACGACAATCTTCCTGGTACCGAGCAGAAGACATCCTGAGGCTGAGTATTACCCGATAGCATTCCCTTCTCACCCCTGTCAGACTGTTTCATATCTGTCGATTAATCAGATTAAATAATTATTAAACTATTTGGATTGTCAAGGGGAATGGATGATTTTGTTTTCACCATGTACATGGGTTTGGTGAAAAATTCTATGAGAAATAGTGCACCAGCAATATTGTCTTCTGGTACGAATATAATCTTGGGGAAGCGATATTGCATCGTCGAGTGGCCAAGGAATGCTTAATATCGAAAGAGCGGGCCTATGGTCAAAGCATGTTATTACGCATTATCATGAAACGACGGAGAGCTTGACCGACTTAAAACCTTGTACATATTCCCTCCATCACGATATATATATATTCGTTGGAGGTCCGCCCGAGGGTAGTCCATACTATTAGCTTCTACCCGCCAAATCCCGCAAACTCAACAAAATACCATAAATAAAGATATGCATAATAATTTCGTCAATTCGAAAGCAAAAAATTTGGCAAAAAGTGTGGAAAAAAGGTTGGTAAAAAATCTGACAAAAAGTATTTCCCACTGCCATGAAAAATCCCTCAGTCCCCGTAGCTCATGATCGCAAATGGCTTCGAGATTTTTCTGAAATGTCTTGATTTTTTGTACAATCAAGTGACTTTTTCTCGACTGAATAATAAATCTTTTTTGTGATTACTGAGGGCTCGTGATTGAATGAGAACACATCCGAAAGCTCACATGATATAAACGACTGGTTTCGCAACAATTTGCCTGGCACAGTGAACTATACGAATGGGATAGGTAACAACCCCCCGAGGCGGATACCCCTGGGCCGAGCACGCGCGCAATTTTCTTTCTATTTTTTTTTTTATCCATTTTTCTATTAATTAATCACAGGCCAATCGATCTTGAGTGGGAACGCGTTATTCATACATCCTCCTGTTTTTTTCACTTTCTCTCTGTAATTTAATGAATTCAATTTCTCTAATATATATTTTTTTTTCCGAGAAAATAGCAAGCAGGTGTCAAAGAGGGAACAGGTATAAGATAATTGGTTGGAGATGGGCATTCATATGGCCTCCGGTGATTTTCATTCACTTAATAGATATCATTTAACGAAATCAGGGGAGAGTAAGAGATAGATGGTGGAAGGGGGGAGGGGGGGAGGGCATTTAAAAGGAGGTAAGAAGACGTACAGAAGATGGGAGGAGCTGTAGGAGCTGTAGAAGCTGCAATGCAGCTCAGTAGCTATTAGTGATTGCTGTAATTTTCATTCCATCAAGCGCTGGCGGAAACACGTTGTGTGCCGCGCGCATCAAACGGTACAACACACCCCGCAATATATAAATAAACACAATCTTGTGAATGAAGAGCCGCTCTTTCCACTTACTCATTCGCCTTTTATAATCATTGAGTTAACGCGCCAACTCCGTATTCATCGCATTTTTCATAGCGTCATTATAATTTTTCTCAACGTTCGAATCAAAAATGCAAAAGTCCCGCGGTGAAAGCGCTCATCGCAAAAATTCTGGTTTACAATAAATAAAGCTGAATTGTTAATCATTTGTTGCGCCAATGTATCGACACGGAATGAATAATAATATTCTTAATTCGAGTGATTTGTTTTCTCTATGAAAGGATGTTTTCTTTATCGCGCTGTGGGAGTGTCCGCTGACCCCAATGATATATGCGGATTTTTTTTTTTCCTCAACGAAAGGAGAGGCGTTTGCTCTCGTGCATTGGTGGTGGAATTACGCCAGAAGCCCCAAAGAGACCCACGGGCCCGTGTGTGTATGACCCGTTAAACTTTCATCGGAGTCCTGCATGACCGAGCAAACGTGTACACCACCTCACTATCCAACGTGGCCATCTGTCTTCGAGGAGAGATGAAATTCCATTTCAATCTCACCAGCCCTCTCACGTTGTCGCCATAATACTTGATCTCATTACGAAATTCTAGATATCACGATGGAGCTGTGAGTCCTCGAAGTTGATGCAAGTTTACAACTCCAATATCTGTTGTTATCATCTTCATCTATCCAGGAGAAGGTGCAATCCAATGAGTCTATTCGATTTGCACCATTGAAATATTTTCCCTTTCAATTCCCACAACGTTCTGACGAATTCCCGTTATATTCCGGTTTTATTGAAATTTTCGGAAATTTCGTAATTTAATTGATTGATAGAAAATTTAATATTCAATCTGGTGATATTACTAACAAATGCATGGCAATTTGAGTTTTTATTGGCAAATAATTTTTCATTTTTAAATGTTCTTGTTCAGTGGAAATTGAATAGGTAATTAGATTAACAAGGGCCAATGAAATAGTGCGAGTGCACAGCCGCAGGGCGTAATATATTTGACGTTGAGGCGTTTTAACTGAAAGGGGGATAAAGTACCAAAAGTCACACCCCAGTCTAGGTTGTCCCTGACCAATCGAGTGCAGTTGTATAAGTCAACTGGTGAGGATTGGCTCCTGGCTTCCGGCTGTGTTGATTGCCAAGGAAATTGTGCGTGTGCTCGATAGAACACGCGAAATATATTCTCCCTTTCAGATTCAATCGAATTTCTTTGAAATATCTTTTTTTCACATTCGATCAAACGAAAATTTCATTGAATTCGCTCAAGCTGCGAGTGTAACGCGTCTCTCTGCCCTTTCACTCGAGCCTCACACCACCGACATTTTACACTAAAAATCACTCGAACATCTGTTGAATGATTATACAGTTGTGTAATTTAATATTGTTGAGATGTCCTTGACAGGTGAGTGATCTTTGACAAAGTGCCGTGGGTGCAGCTCATGCTAGATACTAATTAATCGATACTCGATGCCTCGATAAATCATTGAAATGGCGTTGGCTTTTTATCGCAAGTATATCTCTACGTGAGGTCTCAGTTAGTTCAATAGTTTTCTCATAATATCAACGGAATCTAGGATTGTGGCCATTGAAAATTTATAAAGAATATTTCAAAATGAAGAATTAATAATTCTAATTATTAATTATCTCCGAAGAGAACTTTTTCCATCTTAATAGATTCATCTTAAAGTCCACGGATATGGGGAAAAATGAAAAAAAAATATATATATGTGTGATCCGGGTAAATATAAAGGGATATTATTATAAGAGTACACTATGGAGTTATGGAGGGGCGGGAGAGTGTGTAACGAGGCATATAATAAGCGACGTTGACGTACTCGCTGCATGAAGAAACAGCCATCTGTATGTAATACCCCTGTGGTGAAGGACCACCCCGAAAAACTAGCTACCCGCCAAGAATATTACAATGACAATAGAGAAATCGGATACGCCCGCGGGCACGTACTATTTTTTTGTCGTACGTGTTGTGTTCACACCTAGGAGCCCCGCGCAAGACTCGCACCGAATATTGGTAATTCTATAGCATTTGAATTGAAGTGCTTCCATCATCCATTGTACCAATGGCACTCTATTATACCAAGAGCGATAAGTATAACTGTTGGCCCAGTACACCAGAGAGACCAGTGTCACCTACTGTTTATTTGTCCGATTCTATTGTACATTTTAATATCTCCGATAACTAATTTCCTATCTGGAAAATTATTCTGATTACATGTTTGTGAAACGTGTGATTAACTGACACCGGTCATGCAACAAAAAATGGCGCAGTGCGATTAATTAAAATCAAGATCATTGAATAATTCCATCATACTGCGAGTTATTAACTTGAGGTGAAACATTGATAAAAATTAATTTATCTATGCAAATGAGTTTAATCAATTTCTAGTGTCATTAACAAGCTTATTTACTTCTAATGGAAGATCATGTAAATGTGTCATTAACCTTAATGGCGTAATTAGCATTGTACCATTGGGAATGGAATATTTTGAGTTGTTCTGTACGATGGGATAAAGGTGAATATGAAAACCGTTGTGGTCTAATAAGCGGGTAATCTGGCACCTCAATGCGGTAATAACATTTGTACTGCGATAGGTACCAGCCCCCTCTCCCCCCTCTCCTCCTTTCAAATTGAGTGTTGCCACCCCTTAGATGTAATTTAATGCCGGTTTATGCTGTTCGTATTACTCCATGAGAGTGTGGGTCTCTGGCAATTGTCTGGGTAGAGCATAAATCGAGAGGTGAAGAAAAATAGCTCGAAAAATAATTTTACCCATAAAATATGGGAATACATGTCATACGCTGTGATTGAATATCTGCCAGACTATTTGCCAGTCGGTAGTTGCGCAAGGACTTTTAGCCCCGTTTTAACTTGGATCAGTTCGTACCAACAGTAAAACCAGTTGGCAATTATGTATTCGAATTGCGGGAAACAAGTGTAGCGAGGTGGCCGTGCACTTTGTCGTTACTCATTCAATTTAATTTAATTAATGATTTTTTTCCATCTGTAGTTGAACTTTTGCCATTTTTTTTTTGTGAGAAGAAAGTGTCAAGTCTGGTTGGGCTGGATTTTTATGGTGTACTGGAGGTGTTTCAGTGAATGGAGGAGTGTGGGATTGATAAAATATGCAAATAGAGCATAGAAATTCCCGGTGATATTTATGGGGAGATAAATTGTTCTGTAAATCATAGTAATGAATTTGTGTTGAGGATATCGAAGTGGGGCAGCTACTGCAGTAAAAGGAATTTTTTTTCAAAATAATTTAATAATATTTTGAGAGGGAGTACTCACTTTTTAGGAGTGGAAGGTCATTCATGAAGCCCCCATCGTCGACGTTTGTATTCTGGAAATAAAAATAAAGTTCTAATGAAGCACACAATAATCAAAATTAATCTCCAATCGGTAATTTTAATTTGAGATTGACTGGGAGAAGTTGATTGATCTCGGGAATGAATATTGAGGGAGGAAAGAACATTCCAGGATGTGAACAAGAAAACCAGGATATACTTTGGAATTACTGAAGGGTTCGTTCAAGTATCTGCCGAAATTAAATTCTTCAAGCTGTATCCGAGAGTTATATCGACCAACAACGGTGCGCATATTACATTATCGATGATTCTGAATTTTCCCTTCATAACGGACACGACCCATCACTTCGATATTATTGCATATTTCCTCGGTATCGGGTGGTATATTATTAATTGTATCGATTACCAAATATTCCACTGAGGATGAAATATAATGAGAAAATTAATGAATTACGATACGTTCGAAGGGAAAAAAGAGATTTGTACATTCCGCGAAAAAATTCACCGAACTGAGTGAAAGAGTCATGAATTCACAGAGTCTCATGGTCATTCATTTTTATAAATATTGAATAAATAATTCATGAATTTTTGTCATCGTGGGTGGTTTTGCTGGATGAAAAAGAAAAAAAAACAATAATGCAAGTTGCGATTACGTACATCATCGCTCACCTGGGGGTCGTCAACGAGACTCGTGTGCAGAAGGTCAGTCTGATCGAGTCCTGGTGGTGGTAAAAGGGCGTCGGGACGTCGGACAGCTCCATAAGAGTCCACACCCCTGCCACCACCACCTCCACCACCTCCAGCGCTTCCACGACTTCCGTCGTAGGGGAATGCCGCGTGCATATTCGACTGTAAAATCAAACATCAATACATGTCAAATCATTCGCCCTTCATTAATTACGTTTTTTCTATTTCCAATTAATCTAGCGTCAACATCACACGTCATTGTGTATACAATAATAATTCTCTTTCATGAATGTTTTTTATTTGTACGATTCAATCGATTCAAATCGATCGGAAGATCGACATCTCATCGAATAGTGACAAGTAACTCGTCGATTCACGAAGCGTCATGCTGATGACTCTGAGGTATATCCGAGGGACCAATTTACTCTGCAAATGCGATTCCATTAAGATAAGACGCGATATTATATTAGGAAATTGGCGGATGTATTGCGCGGGGATTGAAAAATGCCAGCAATGTGTGCGCGGTGAAAAAATTTTTGGTAATTATTGTGGGACCATATATGAAGAACAAAGGTTGAGTTGAAAATTAATCGATTTTTCAGTCATGAAAGAAGATTGATCGACAGCAGATTCGATTATTTTGCGGGCATCTCTGCGGGATACGACTAGATAGGAATTTATTCCACCAGAATTCTTCAAAAAAATTTTCCTAGACGTGTGAGAAACTCTACTCTAAACTAAAAACAAGTATCTTTTATATTTAATATTCAAATCATAGTGCCAAGTATCACAAAACGATCAGTCACGTCCGCCAAAATTCATCCGACAGTTTTTTTTTAGTCACTGGCAACTCAAAACTGAGGACTCGTAGAAAAAAGCCTCAGTATCAATATGAAAGAATCAGGCACGTGCGTAAAATAGTTTGAGTATCAAGGGGTTATATCCACAATTGGTTTTCTCCTCGAGTTTTTTAGCAATGTTTATACATCAGCGGCTTCTCACGGTCGTATGTATAATGCCCTGATGCAGGAGAGCACGTTTTCCAGTAGCTCGAGGGCTAGCCAAGATACGCGCAAAGAGCCAGAAGATTATTTCACGTTGACGCATGATCACCACTGAAGATTATCAAATATATCTCACTCGGCAAAACTCAGAAGAGAAAAAAAAGGGGGAAATCTGTGGTTTGAAATACATATGATTTATTCTCCGGTCTACCTTAATTCCATTTATTGACTTTTTCCTTTTTTTTTTCGTTAACATTATCACGATTGCCACAGTCATATAGTCCCGAATAGGAAGTAGTTTGAGATTTTATTGGCAAATCATTGCGAAATGTGCCCCATTAAACGAGAGGAAAATTTCGAATGAACGGATTGGCGCGAACGAGATCATTATCTCGGTATGGAAAGTTGGCCCACTATGATACATTAATTTCCATGGAGACAAATCATTTAAAATGATATTCGCCGAAAACTAATTTGACACCGGTTGTACGAAATGTTCACGCGAAATTCGCAATGGCACGATGGTGGGTCGGAAGATTTTCTTTTGAAATTATGGTAATTCGGTGGTTGTCGTAAGGATAAATGACTCTCCGCGAAATGGCCACTTTTCGCATGCACCCTGAAAAGATAAACTCGTGTGTAAATATTAAGTGTGTCACGTGAAGGTAGAGGAGAATTATGATGATGTTTATGTCGATTTTGATGGGACATGGGATTGCTCGTTTGATTTACACATTTACTACAGCTGTATAATATGAGTATGACGCTGGGGCAGACCGTTCAATCCTAGAAAATTCCCTCGCGGCTCAACATGAAACGAGACAATCGGTACATATCGCCCACGAGGATCAGCGATCGCCTCCTTTTCAAGTTAATTTAATCTCTATATTACTGGCCGACCTGTTTTATTCAACTGCTCATGGAATAAACTCATGGAATGACGTGGGGCAACTGATGGAACGATAGATTCTTCAATGCACCTTGCCCCAGCAAAATCATTGTTTTCCTTACATCAATTCCACTTAATCCATTAATATCCAATAATATTTCCATTTACCCCGTGTCCCCTCAAATATTAACTCATAATTTTTAACTGTTGCAATATTGATACGAGAGAGTTGAGAGATTGTGAAAATCATTGTTTGTATTCGTCCCGAAAAATGATGAAGTAATACACGAAGAGATATCGATCACGTTTAATATTTTTTTAATCATTATGATTGCCATTATTCCAGCATGGTATAAAGACAGAGCCTGTTCCACGAAGGAAACTTTCACGTGATGAAAAAAAGAGCGGCGTTAATTAACCCGCGGGCGGTAAGTAGCCGAGGACTATTCGACTTGCATCTTGCTTGTAGTTATAAATTGATGTAACCAAGTGAGTACAGTGTGTCGACCCAACTAATGAGATGAAATGTGATCGCCTTTCTCTCGTTAAAGCCCCCTCATAGCACAACGAAATAATATAAGCCTATGATACACGTATTTCCACCCGATTATATATATAAAGACAATTTTTTCATCGTTTTATTGATTCAGCACCAGTTTGATTCCAATGACAGATAAAGGCGGATACAATTAATTCCCGATCCATCGAACAAATGAGCGAAAGAGCGTATGTTCTCTCCTCATTTAGACCCCCCGGGGGGGAAGAAAGAAAATGTTCATAAATTCAATAAATCTGATTTTATCGCCCATTAAAGCCTCCTCCATGAATTTCGTTGAATTACAACTTGAAATAATTTTTATTTACCAATCCATAAATTATCACCTAATACTATTGACCGCCGAATGTACACAGCGGTACTCCATCATTATTTTCACCGCCCAAAAGTCCAAGTCGATCGAAACTCATAACCCAAATTTCAAAATTAGAAACTCCCTCAATAATTATCCGGCGGTGGGTGTTTGGTAGTTTGTCGCTTTCAAATCCGTCAGATGGTAATTATTTTGATGTTAGAGATAATAAAATTGAATGATTTATCATCGAAATGAGAACGTGAAATTTCAACAGAGCTGTCACTCGTTGAGGATTTCTGAGATGTATACCGGGGGAATTGAGTGACTATTTTTTGATATTGTAACAGATCGAGTGAGACACGTGTACATCCGGACAATTCGTGAGATTTAACGGAGTGGTGCTTCGGGAAAGAGCCGAATGAATTTTACCCGTTTAAAAGGGGTTGGCCCGACTTTGTTGGAGAGAAGGGGCCAAGCGAGCCAACAATAATTCAAAACTAGAAGGAATGATCCTCAAAAGGGAGTAAGATAGCGCTAGCTCAGGGCATTCTATCCTCTTTATAAAGATATAATACGAAGCATGCACGTTATTCAAGGATAAAGCTATTTGTTGGGGTTCGGTGGAAAGCACTCGGCTGATTGTTGGCTATTGTGCTCGCTAGTCATGACACCACAATGTCCCCCGATGGCCCATCGGTTTATCTATTATCAAATCTCAAATGTACCCCCAAATGAAATCACAACAGTATCACAAGCTCAATGCACTTCCATTAACCGTTAAAAAGACATCGTCATGTGACAATTCTTGTGCATCTCTCATTTCAAATGATTTTTCATAATTTTCAGTCGAGTCGATGCCGATTTTTAAATGATTCACGCTCACATGAGACATGCGCAAGGGGCTAATGAGACATCTCGATGTGTCAATCCCGGTATGAAACTTCAATTAAATCAGATGATGAAACAATTTTTTTTTTACCGTCTAACAACATCCACATCCCGTTCGCCGTGTCCCTCATCCTAACGCGGGCCATTCTCTAGCATTGCGATTCTTGGAATATTTCAACTCAAAGCAAACGTTCCCGGCATCTACCTCGGGGGAATGTCGAAGCCCGGAACTTAATAAGCGAATTACTTGCGGAGACAGGAATATGTCGAGAGGGAAGGGAGTCGGGTTTTATCCAAATTTAAAATCCCGTCGTTCACGTCATCATGATTCCTCCATCGTTTTCACCGGGGGGTCATTATCTTCAGACATGACAGCGTGTATTTACACCGATCGAATCCACACAGATACCAGAATATTATCGGACAAAATTATTAGAGCAATCGTGCGACCCACCGATGGGATAAAAAATCTCTAAAAAAAAAGGACACATCCTCAGTTTACCATAAACTTCCTCCGTTCTCATGGTTAATTGTCATTAGCATTGAATTCTCGAATACCTAAATTTTCCACAAAACGAAATCTTATCTCTCCGTGATGATGGCGCGATAATGGTGGAACAGATGTGGGTATCCGAAAAATTTCGAGGGCAGAGACCGAGTGCTGGGAGTTCTCGTGTGTCTCGGGTTTCCACGGACTCGGGGTGCCTTTTATTAAGTATAAAATTTTTTTTTTACCTCACAAATTTATTTGGCAAAATGGTTACGTGACACTTGGGAGGGCAAAAAATTCCGGTCAAATGTGTAATCCCCGTCGGATTGTTACAGACACGCGCAAAAGAGCGGCGGGGATGCACTGAAGAGCGTCAATTAGAGTGAAATTTTTCGCCACGGTGCGCCACTCTCATTATCATTACCAACCCAGGAAGAGGTGAATGTGAAAGTTTTTGTTTCGGGGCTTGATTGACTTAGGTGGAGAAACGATCGAATGCGAAATATGGATGGAAGGCTGGAGTCATTATGTATTTATTGTCTACTAAAGTTTTAACTGATGGAGAGCAGGTTTGATGTATGGTTATCGTATGCGAGCCAGAAGCCCCGGACGATCATGAGGGGGTTAACGGTACTGGAATTCCATGTCCCCTGCGATATAATTTTTTTTTTCTCTGGAACAACCGCGAGGTACGCATCGAGGGCCAGAGCCGGACATTGATTGAATTTTTTGCAGATACAAATTTTTTTTCAGTGGCTCATACTCCTCACTCGCATTCTATTCGCTCAATTCGTTCTATTCGCTCCATTCGGTCAATTAAAATCCACGGGGGGTAGCTTATTAATTTGGATGCAATATTGAAGAGGACTCACCACGTGAATGCCTTCGGCGTCCCTCCTGAGATCACCACTCCTCTGTCCCGCGGAAACTGCCGCGCTCAGATGATTGTAATGATGCTGATGGAGAGTGTTTAGGGTTTGGGTATATGGATCACCAACGAGGTAATCGAGGTGTTGAGGCTGGCCAAGACCATGCTGTGGACTCGCTGGTGCATGATGATGGGTGGGAAAGGGTGGTGGAAAATAGGGTGGTTGAAAATCGGATGCCGTTGGTAAGGATGCACCAGCGTGATGGGGCATACCACCGCCACCATTGCCGTTTCCCCGATGTCCATGGTGATGGGCACCAGAATAAGGCGATGAATTTCCACCACCAAGGGAGGATATGCCCCCGTGACTCGTCAGACGGTCCTGTAACATCAAACAAACATTCCCATTAAAATTTCATCATCCTCTAACAATTACATCTATTTTTTATTCAATTCCCAATGTGAATGGCTTGTTTCATTTAATTTTTTTTTTTTTGCCGGCTTCACTCGATGTTAGATCATGTCAGATATTTCAGGAGTTACATTTGACGGCGCGAGTCAAAGTACGCGTGTTCCTTCCCTGATAGAAAAAAAAAAGCTAGCACATCCGTGCGCATCACGCAATAATCAAGAGCTTCGGCCTTCGTCGAGTCATCGCCAGGCGTTCAGCCCATAATATTCTCGTTAAATCGACAGTCAGAGATATATTTTAATACAACTTATGTAATTCTCCCCTACCCCTACACCACACGTGAGCGCTAAATGTCTGAATGAATAATCAAATGGCTATTTGGCATCGAATAGAACAGACGTTATGCTGACTGAGCGAAAAGCGCAATAACTTTAACATGATTCAACGTCTCAACTGGAGAACAATTGTACCACATCAATGCCAATCAGAGCTCATGCTTTGGATTGTAAAGAAACATTTACAATTTTCTATAGCTCGAGGCCCTCCAATGGATTTTACAACTCCGTATGTTGGAAGGTGCGCATTATGGATTATTTATTACGTTTCATTTTCCACTCACTGCCTGCAATAATTATCCCATTAAATTAGATCCAACCTGACATTATAATTCCCTACTGTGTAAACACTAACAACTCACTGGCCTGTCCCGTGATAACGCATCAATTCGGTACAAAAATTCCACGTCATTAAAAAAGTATTCCATATTTAGGAAAATCGTCTCTTTACTAATGACATAATGAGCTATAGCAACAGATAAATACCACATTCTCAAATGATTCATTTAATTACCCCTCCGTTAAAGTGTTTATTATCCAACGTATTTTTCATCGTTGAAAACTCATTGTTGCTGTAACACACAATACCTCGACCCGAATGAAAATTCTTCTCTCTCATTTTTATTATATTCCCTCCTCCCCCTGTTCGTTGATTTGTTCTTTATTTTTTCCGTGTCTCATCTTATAAATGAAAAAATGCAATTCACCTCGACCTCGATGACAGTGGTCATATCAACATGAGGAGCGTAGCAGAGTGCCAGCTTGTCGGCAGTAGGCGCCTCTGTTCGCGGTGGAAACATCTCGAGTACCTCCAGTTTGCCGGCCCTACGACGAGGTGGGCCTCTGGCCCGTACCCTCGTGCCACCGCTTATTCGCCCTCAAAATATATTCACTCAACTGATAATTCACCCCTCATATCACAGAGAACAAAACGCCCCCCATCAAATCAGCCAGTAATCACTCGATCAAGTCCCGTTTCCAGATCGTAAAATTCCAGATCTCGAAAAAAAAAGAACCAAAAAATAAAAACCACAAATCACACTAGCACACACTCACACCCGTTCAACCGAAGACCCTTAAATTCCCTCAGTCATTTTAATGTCATTCTCGCAGGGGATGCACATCGTGTCCCAATCATTCCGCAAATGACGAGTAAATGTCCCGCGCACCTCTGATTCTCCACCAGCGTTGGACAAGCTGATGTCAACAGCTGATTTGTGTTATACTGCAGTTGATGTTGCGTCGGCGACTGAGTGGAGGGCCCCGGAGCGACGGAGACGTAGGACACTAGGAGACGCTAGATCAGAGACCGAGACGTGGTATCACCTACCACCACCACCATCACCACCAACCGATACCAATCGCTGAATTGCCACCACCCTGGACACATGAGTCCGGTGATTTTTCGAGGTGTCGATGAGCCACTGCAGACCGCTCGACTACTGAATTGTGTGTAACACGCACGTGGCGCGGCTACACGCTAGATCAACCCAAACCCGCGGATCCCCCCCTTTTTCACGGGCGTTAGGCAGTGGCCTAGAGTGATTGCGCACAACCAGGCCCCATGTCAGACACTCGATGGGGCACATGGAGACGCCCCTCTAGCGAATAGCCCACAGACAAGTTGTACTCCTCGCTGAATCGCACCGCAGATCGCGGTGAGGCTTTCGCCGGTGATGATCGCCTCCGCTCCCTCAGTGGAGGGGATATACCACTTATAAACATTTCCCACGCGCCAATATTTTACTTCGCTAAACATCAATGAATTTACCACTTTATCAGAAAGATATATAAAATATATATTGAAATATATATATTTTTTTATGTATTTCTTTAGATGCATTCGCAATGGGATTGATTGGGGATTGATAATTTTTTTTTTATTTCAGCGTACCAATGAAAAAATGGACACGTGTAGCTTTCGGAATGACTCTTCAAATTTTATACCACTTTAATGAGAGATTACTTTTTTTCTGGGTGATAATATCGAAATTAAATATGACGCTTATGTCTTTCATGTAGTGAATTGATATATCGTGGTGCAAGCTTCTGCTAGTCAGACTGGTTTTATTCGGGTTCATTGAGAGCGAGTTAAAAATCCGGTGGAATAAAAAAAATCAACTCCCCTCTCGGTGATTGGAAATGCGTGTCGGAGGGAGGGAGTAAATGTAGAAGACATTCGTATAGATATGGTAGCCAACATTTTTCATCAAATTTATCGATAATCGATGCAAAGTATCGAGTATCAGTAATGAAGAGAAAAATGGATATAAATGTCTGGACACACCCGCAACGATTATGAGGTTTCACGTGGGACGTGAGAATTAAATGTATACTTGATATCACCTGCGAGCTGGTGTTATCCTCCTGATTTCCATGTGTTTCAGGTTCTCCTCAAATTCCTCGTAAAGAAAGAATTAATTGAGTGAAGTAATGAGATGCGATACAGTAGAAATATAGATTTTCCGACGGTGCCAATTCTTTATCAAATGCTGGAAAAATTTTCCACGCTTTCGCCTTAAATATATAAATTATTTAATTTAATGTTTGACACGTCATCACGGTGTTGTGGGAAATAGAAATTAATCGTTACTCACTGGCATTCGTCGATAGTAATTTGGAGATTGGAGTGGAGGCGAAGGGAAAATATATATTGAACGACGACGTGAAGTGATAAAAACGAAATAGTTAAGATGCCTCGGGTATAATGATTGTAATAATGAGAGTGCCATTAGAATTTTCCGGTCGTTAACGAAAGCGACGAAGGAGATTGACGAAACGACACAGTCGAAATAATTGTGGCAGCGTATAGTCTTCAGTGTTTTTATTTTTTATCTCTACTTAGTTTTTAATGTGTATGTATGCGTCTTGTGACAAGCACGGTTAAATTTATTGCCCGTGGCTCATATACCTCTCTCTCTCTTCTTTCTACACTCAGTAATAAAAAGCACCGTTAACTGTGCGAGTGATAGTTTGTGTATATATGTCTCGCAAAATCCGCCCGTTAGGACTTTGATTGATTTTTTTTCACTACACATGATAGAGAGCACCTAGCTTCATAATTTAAACATTTTTCTTTTGCCATAGACTCTCCTGACAATTTCTACCGGTGACGCTAAAGGGAGACGGAGGAATTCTCGAAATTTTCCCAGATATATACGCCTAATTCAAGGATTAAAGAAGGAACTGGTGATATTTATTTCTAAAATTGACTGGTTGTTGATCAATCGATATTTCATAAAACTCGAGGTTAATCTATCTCATTTTATTATTTCCCTGTTAAAATTTTGAGTTGCCCGTAATTTCCTCATGGCTCATTTTTCAATGATGATGAAATTTTGAGAAAAATTTCGAAAATATCGGAGATTTCGAAATATTTAAAATCTGACAAAGCCGATATCGTTTCGAAACTCCTCATTTTCAAGATACAAGGATTTTAACTGTGCAATTGGTCTGGAAATTTTTTTACGCGTCAGTCGCGCCAAGGAAACACCAAAAATATTTCTGTTTAGATCCACAAATCGTTCTGAGAAGGAGAATAAATTTCTTGAATTCAGAAGAGTCATTTAATTTACTCTGTATTTCCCTCAGTGAATGATTTTCCTCTTAATCCCGTCTAATAATCCACAAACACTTGCCACAAAAAAAAAAGGTAGTACGAAGAGGCACCAGAGGAATTCAACATTGTTGAATTTAAAGAGTGTAACGGGCAACGAAAATTATCCAGCGGATGAAGGAGAACAAGTCCGAAGAAAAGGTAAAGCAAAAGAAAAAAAAAATGAAGAGTCGTCGGCGTTGGTCATTGCAGAGAGAATAAAAGGTGTGGTATTCACGGATGGGACGCGGACGATAATTATATAAAAAATGTTGACAATCGGCCAACTCGGATATTTATCAAATTTATGTAAAAATATTTAGCGAAAGAGAAAATTGAGCGACGTGGGGTGGTGGGGTGCGGGTGTACCTGGGGAATGGGGCGTCATCGACGGGGTGCAATCGCGACCCTTGAAGACACACCGAAAGCCGAAGAGACACGTACAACACACGATTTGAGGAGAGGAAGCGATTGCAGGAGGATGAGATAAATACATTGCGAATAAAAGAGGTAGACGGTATAAGAGAGACGATCCGATGGATTGTGAGGGTAGTGGGAGAGAAAAGTCGCTAAACGACATTCCACTCGACCCATCCACTGCGCCACTCAACGGTAACCAACGTCCAACGCCCTTATCCCACTTTACCCCAATCCCTATTTTCCTCAGTTATCCACCTCCCTCTCCACCTCAACGTACCCCCCACACACCCCCCATTCAGTACCAAGCGCACAATTACGCGGTGGCAATTAAACCGGGGCGCACACTCCCCGCCAGGAATTCACGTGCAAATCCCTCCGAACATCAGAAGAAAAATGGAACAAGTTCTATTGAAATTTTACCTCAGAATGCTGAGATCTTTTCTAAAAGATGCAGCTGATTTGTCATAAAAAATCTGGCGATGAGGAAATTTTTTTGGAATTTCTCACGGTGAATTTTGCAGGGAAGTTCAGGGTACCAGTAGGATACTGTGTATTCTATATATTTTTTTGGATGATCGTGTGGGGCACACTGATCGGTCTGAAAAACGATGAGGACTACCATGTTATTCACCGTTAATTTGGGCTGAGAGTTGCGGTGTGTGGAGGATGGAGCTGAGAAATATATGGAGGGTTCGAGATAACGGTATCGACGTCGATCGTTGCGTGTGCACGTTATAACCATGTCCACATTATATCGACATTGGTATTCTAGAATTTTTTGATTCACTTTCCTCAAGACAGGACGTCATGCAGGCATCCAGGATGAACTCTCCCGTTTGGGAAGAATCGTGTAAATGGGGGGGATAAATGATTCTTTAATGTCGACTGATGGAAATTTCCGGAATACTTTTGACAGTAATGGGCTCATCAGTTGAGTGGGTATTTCACGTCGAATAAGGAATTGTTGAAAAGTTTATAACGGGGCGATGAGGAGAGGGAGGAGAGCAATGGCATACTGGGAATTTAGAAGCTATGGAAGTCTCTCCTTTATGGCAGGCGATAACGCGTAATGGTAGTTGAACACTTAACAGTCTGGGTAATTCGCGGGATATAATTGTCGCGAGATTGTGTATGATGGTTCCCACGTCTTGCGCACTGGGACCCACTGTGTCATTCCAATGGGATATTGACAATTGTTGGGTAAAAAGAGGGCGGGAGAGCAAATTGTAGAAATGAAATTTAGTGGTTTTGCGTTATTTCTAGGCATGTCGATGGCAGCAGTTTGAGGAGGCAACTACGTGGTCAGTATAATTGATGGCAATCGCGCGCGCGGCCGGCGAATAAAACGTGCCGCGGATCAGACGTGAGACGCGCGCTCTTTGATACCAATAGGAGATGATCGTTTTCATCTCTTTGCTGTGTCTCCACCCGAGAAAAATCCCCTATCCCCCCTACCCCCCCATCCCCCTCCCGCCCTCTTGTAACTCTTACGTTTGCTACACAAATCCATAATGGGTAGTGCGTAATTAGTTGAGGGGATCGAGCGCGCGAATCGATGGCAATGCCATTCGTGTGATTACAAAAAAAAAAAAACGTTGGGAAAAAAGAATAAAGGGAAAAACAACTTGGGAAATTGTCGCACGAAGCGCTCCTCTTTTAAGACCGGTGATCGCATCCTTTATAACATCCCGGCGAGATCTAGATCTAATGGACAATCAGAGATAAATATACGTGGGGGAAATTTATGGTTTAATCTTTTTGCTGGCAAATGAGGGATTAAAAAATCTTGCCCGAGATTTCCGGTGCATTTGAATTAAATTATTGTCGTATTTCAGTGTCGCTGAACTAGGAGAGAATTTCGCAATGAATAAGCGTATTGAGAGGCAGATAGGTGGGATAAAAATATTGTGATTAAGAAAGTCATGAAGAAAAAAAAAAACAAAGCATCGTTGAGAGAAGAGAAATCTCTGACAATCGATAGTTTCGAAAACGGTGCCGTCATCGATATCGATCAATCAAATAATTTTGTCTCGTGCCACAATCGCAAACCGAGCGAAATACATTTGCCGGAGGATTGACTATTCGAATTAGCCGGCGGCATTGCTCTCATACGATAGCCAATACCGGCGATATATCGTATTGCGATTTGAGCGGGTCTCCACGTGAAAGCTCACTATATGTACTATATATACTACATAATGTTGCAGAGATGCAGGAGACTCATGCATAAATACATGTCGGGTCCCTGTGGTGGATAAGTAGCGACGTAACAGCCAAGGGGTATAGGCCGACAGGCGTGTGCAGGTGCCTCCGAGGCATTTTTTTTTTTCCCTCCCTATTTTTTCACCCTCTATCACCTATTTTTTTCGACAAATCTAGGATAGATCACTCAAATCTCCATAGAAGGGGACTTACTTCGAAAATTGTGCTATAATAGGCATTTCACTTTGCGGAAATGTCTTGAAACCTGACGGTTGTTTTCTTTCAAGAATAATTAGTCACGTTATCTTTAACAAACCCGACCACAGCCACGGCGCCGAAATGGATATCTTCCCTGTAATATTGATATTTTCGGTGATTCCAGTGTGATGTACGATCGCAGCCTGGAAAATTTCACCCTATTACAAGAGATTTTTTTCCGTGATGCAAAAAATTTTGTTTTCTGTGCAGAAAGTATGATGACTATTCCGATGCTGATCCACCGGTTGGTAAACTCAGAGGTGAAAGTCTTGGCCCATCATTTTCGAGCGTACATTTACAAGTGCACACCTATCATTAGTTATATTGCCTTCATAATCAGCATGTAGATAAGTTTAACTTGGATAACAAAAAGGCCATTAAAAATATTTGGAAAGAGTAATTGCGAAATAAAAAGCGGTGTTGATCATTAAAAGCCATTACTACATATTCATTGAGTTGAAAAAATCCACATAGGTACATATATCCATCCGTAATTATCTCTGATCTCGATGTTGACGTGAAGCCTTCTTTTTCGAGAGAGGCGGTAACACGATAGGTCGACCCACTTTTTCTGACATTGACGAGGATGCTTGTGGTGCGTATCATCGTCATGTGTTTTCTCTCCTCTGGTAGAAATTAATTTGACCGTTTTATATTGCCCCTGCTCCCTCCCCTGCCCCCTCCCCACCCCCATTGTTTCCATCAATCCGCGAAAGAGACGAAAAAAAAAAAAAATGTCTCCACCAGGAGTGAAAACCAACGTCACTTATAATTACAATGTCAACTATCAATTTTCAACGGCGGTTTTCTCGCAATGGAAAAATATCTATACGATGAGGTTAGTAGTAGCACAAGTACCAATGGGAAAAACAATAAAATGTCTTGTCCTCTCGACTATAACTTTTCACGCAAGCGCAAAACGGTAAGAAACGTTAAGAGCGATGGTAGAAAATGTTTTTATGGTCACTCTTATACCTCGGCGTTTATTAGCATGTGCGCGGGTATGTGTATGCCTCCGCATACTTTGCCCCTACTCGCATTTCTTAAGGTAGTGCTTGGCAAATATTCTCCAAGTTCTGCAATTGCTGGTAAAAGTCATTACCGCGGTGCCGTAGAGACAGAGAATAAAAAAATGAGCGATAAAATAAGGGGACGAGAAAGATTGAGGGATAGAGGGAGAGAGCTCTGAAGAAAATACATAATAACGAGGGCATTCCTTTTTCAGAGGATGCTTAAAAATTTAACATCTGCCTTGGAGAGTAAAAAACGGCCCTCAGCATCATAAAGATTTTGAAATTTCCGGCGGATGACCTCTGGGACTCCTGGGGTGTGTGAGCATCAGATACATCATACACCTGTGCCTTTAGTTTGAGGAAGTGGCAATTCAGCGTGGGGGGGAGAAAATGACACATGCGAAATGACATGACACGACGAAGGCTAAGAGATTCGAATCGTATAGAGAGGGAGGAAGGCGTGAAAGAGGAGATTGCCCAGTGACTGGAATGCCCGCAAGCAGCGCGTGGCCAGTTGCCCACACCGCATCGCAAACCGATCCTGCATACTCTATTTCACCACCATACCAAACAAATCTTATCCACATATCACCTCCATTCGAGTTGAGAGCTTTTTTTCCTCTTCATCCACCGGGAATAAGTTTAATGAGATAAGTAAACCGGAAAGGGATAGAGCGCAAGAACTCGGCCGGATAAGGGCCCGCTGCTCCGCTCAACACATTCTACAGCTTCTTATCCCTTTCCACCCTTTTTTCTTTTTTTTCTCCTAATTTTGCAGTGTCATATTTTCCCATCCGCTTTCGACTTTTGTCTCTTAACTCAATCCGCGTAAAAACACGTGTTGGCTGTTTCTCCTTTTGGAAAATCGAGGTTTCACGAGTGAGTGAGGCGCATGCAACAGTTGGAGTCACCGGGAATGCTCATGACCAGTTGCCAACCTCTCCTCATATATCACACGTGATATATTATCGTTAAAATACCACTGGTTGATTAATCCAGTGATAATCTCAGCCCCACAATACTCGATTTTCTCGGTGATATAATCTGAGAATTAAATCTCAAAGAGAAATGATATCTGGTACCCACGAGTACCATCACTGATTTTCCTGAAAACCCGTTTGATGACCTCGTCGAGACATGCGCGTAGGCCGATATTCATTAGAGACAAGGAAAACCGAAGAATGGGTTGTGGAAAAAAAAAAAAAGTGAATAACTCGAATGCGTTCACCACGTGAATGTGAGTCAAAGACAGCGTGTACCCTGAGGGTGACTGGGGAACCCTCTTGTCCTCATATGCATATACAATAGAGGTGCCGATCGAAAAACCATGGTAAAGTATAGGCGCGGGATAAACTCGCCGGTTCGATGTGTAGAATGGCCCGAGGCGAGATGTGTTTCCTCTCCCATGCGGATACGTTTGAGGCCAAAGAAAGCGAAATACGAAAAACGGGTTTTCAACCGAGCTATTCCACGAAATATCACCAACACCTATTGATTCTCTTTGGATTGTTAATTCACCTCTGATTAACCATGCCCAATGATTTATTTATTCAAATCATCAACTTACGTCCGCGATGTCATCCTGGAGTGTGTCATCGGTGTTGTCATCCAGGACAAATGCAACATCATTGTTGTTGTTGTTGGACAGTGGGGGAAGCTTTCTCACTCCCTCGTTGTCATTATCTCGTTTCCGTTTACCAGGACTTCTCTCGTGCACCTGATCATCTAGCATGTCCGTAACCATGAGTTCTGACTCGACACTTGTTGGTGATGCTACTTCGTCAAGTGGTGACATTTCTCTGACGATCTCTCGATTATTACAAGCACCCTCGAGCACCGACATTGCTCCACAACAACGACCGATCTGCACACCGATCCATTCGTACGTACGTAGATTTATTATTATTTCGCACTCGAGATTATCTCAACACTCACTATTTATCAGTATTCATCAGCACCACTTCTCCTCGGGTATGCTCAACATCATCATTGCCGATTACAATTCAGCCGCGAGTCCCGCTGAAAATTTCACCGTCCAAATGTTTTAATTCCGAGGACGCATTCGATTGATGGCCACAAGTATCGATTTATAACGTCTCTAATCTCGTACAACTCATTCGAAACTTCAGATTCAACTTCTGTCGTACAATCTTCGTCATCACTGTCAACTCTTTCATATTTCAATGACAATCCGAGGGATTTCGAATATCTTTGGAGATCATTTCAAGCACCACTTGATCGACGAAGCCCGCGGGCTCGAAATTCAAACAGCTGATGATGATCTTGAGCAATCCTAATGAACACAACACAGCCACATGCATTGCCATACATGTGTCAGCTGATTAAGGCAGATTGGTTGATGCGAATCACTGATTTATTTCACAATTGTCACTGGATAAATCACAAATGTAAGGCACACCGTGGATTACGAACGGAGAAACGAGTAGTCACGTGGTGGATGCTGGCAGACAAGGTGAGGATCACGTGGTGGGTGTTTAGATATTTGAATAATTGATAAATGGGGATGGATCGATAAGGTTGTCAATGATAAGTTGATAGAAAGCTAGGTAAGTGAGGTGAGACGCGAGGGGGATTGTTGGTTGAGAGGTCGGTGAGAGAGAAGTAGCGGATGGTGGAGACCGCGTTGGCGCGCGCGCCTCTGGAGAATGGCCTAGAGGCGAAAGAAGGAAAGAAGGGCCGAGTGGCGCCGCCTGCGGCAGGAGGGGGCATAATCCCTCAAAGCTGTATGAGGCTGTGAGCAAGTGTCTGGACCATTCGACCGCCACCACCTCTTCCACCTCCTCCACCTCCTCCACCTCCACCATCTCCACCATCTCCTCTCTCTCTCTCTCTCTGGATTCAACCACCACCATTGCCTCCGCGATATCTTTCACTGCGTTGCGGGATTAAAAATAAAAGATGAAAAAAAAAAAGGAGCGACAACCGCCCGATCGATACCAATCGTTGGACACTACTCAGGACAAGGGTATCCAACGGAGTGACGTGGAGCCTGGACAATTCACCTGTCAGATGCATTGGCAGGAGGAGACAACCGTGCTCGGGAGTTAACAAATTGTATGGAAATGACGCGATTTGCTTGAATAGATATCAATTGACTGCGATGCATTGAATGAATGCACTTGCACCGGGTGATACTCTATACGTATCACCCCGAGATAGGTAAGACCTCGGACCTTGAAGTGTATGAGGCTTTCACCGCTGGCTAAAGTTGCGGTATCTCCGGTTTTTTATTTATTTATTTATTTTTTCACTCCGTGTCCCCACCCACTTGTGCAAGCACCGCCCGCACCTGTCCCTTGGAATTTTTATCCGGAACACCATACGCTATCTCGCAACACATTTGGATGAGACTGTATTCTATCATCCGAGTGATATTAACGAGACAACTTTTGTTATCCGTTGGGCATTATATGTTGGATAGTCGGGGTATTGGTGAGCACCGATGTTGATCGATTTGGTGAAGAGCCACCCCGGCATCCCCTGAGAAATCTCAGAGCATATTTTTCTCGGCTATTCTGGGGTATCCACTGCCGGATGCAGATAGCACTTCTATCCCCTCGCAGACTAACCGTTTGGGCTCTTTGAGGAGACACGTGTGTGATGGCATTGACAATAGAGTGGAAGGCGTCGATGATGGGAAAGGCCATCGCAGTCACTCTGATAGGACATGTGATGTATGTGAGGAATATCGTTGCTCCACGTCAACAATACCTGGTCACATCCCTTTGCTTCTCTCGTCTTGATAACTGGCACATCCCTCACCAAGATCATCAGGCATTTATGATGGAGTCCGTGACTCGATGGTTATGCCACTGCACTTATAGGACACATTTGGAATCGCGCTGTATCCTGAATTGACCAATCGGGAAAAATGGGTGTGGCTGTGTGAACTGATTTTTCGTCGTTGACTATTTGAATCACGTATCAAACTCAAATGAGGATTTGGAGTTGAGCACGTGTTTTTCACTGGGTCGCCGGATATCTGTCGAGGAGAGCTCTCCATGGCGAGCCTGATTAATTCGTTTTCTCGTTACTTTATCGCTTGGGTTGACTCTCGAGTGCTGCAACTACTCACTGTGTTTATCCTCAGCAACCAGACTCCGCACCAGGACAAGTTCTTTTTCCACAATTATACAGTTGTGTTGGTAATGACGAGTACATGTGGATGTGTACCGGGTATATTTCTTTGCGACTCGTTTCTCAGTTCGATTTCGTCGATGTTCGTTATATTTCAAACCAGGTAAAAGTCAACCATACACCATTTCCTATCATACCGCTATTCCTCCCGAGAATTCTCCTCTATATTTTCCATTTGTCTCTCATTTTATTCTTTTTAACTGCTTTTTTTTTTAATCCTTTTACGCTGTGCTGGCTTCTTTTTTTTTCTGCAGGTGGAGTACGTTGGTAGTTTTCTATTTATGCTTTCTCGAACGACTTCCATCGAGAGGAATCCCTCCAGTCAAATAGCCGATCAACGATCACGTACGATCGCAACCAACTCGCGGGCGCGTCTCGTTAGTGCTTACCGGTTATGTAGACACCGGTAATTCGACGGTTGTATTTACGTTAAATTGTTCACGATCCCGTGCGGTACAGGGATTGGTTATAATCGCATATATATGTATAAACCACAAAACGGTGGATGTAGCTGGGGGGGTAAGGGGGTTGTTTTCTCTCGGCCATTAGGCCAATATCGCCCAGTGGATCGGTGAGTTTATTATTTTTTACTTGCATTTTGTTATTCCTCTCTCAATACTTTGGTGCCTCAACTGGGTGGAACTTGAGTGGAGTTCTGCGGTTTGGTGATCATCGGAGGAAATCGTTACTCATGATATCATATTCCAGTGGGTGAGCGCACGCGTTCTCGTTATATATGTTAACATCATCCAGGTATTCGATATATCGAGGGCCCCAACGTAATGCTGGTGGTTCTTCTTAAGGTTCATTTGTTTCAGCCATTTCCTCTTATTCTAGTTTGTTTCATCGGTATATTATACGAATGATCTTGCATGATCGATTGATCTCGTTAGCCGTCTCGTTGTGGTGCTCTGTAAAATATCGATCGATTTGCCATTAAATATGAAGAATGTTATTTGTGTTTACGAGAGCTCTGGTAATTGTCGGTGAGGGAATGGAGTTGGTTGATACTTGGAGTGTTCGGCGGGATCAAAAGGACAAAGAGTTTTTGGCGTAACGAGGACACACGTCACCGTTGGATCGACGACAGTAAATCAAGTTCCGGAAGGGCAGGCAGAGGCAGAGGCAGAGGCAGAGGCAGAGGTAGAGGTAGAGGTAGAGGTAGAGGATGAAGATGAGGATGAGGAGGGCTTGACAATGTCGGGTGTATTCAGTATACATAGTGGTACGGTGGGTTTCGTCGTCACGCTCCAATTGGCTGGTCATCGAAAGTGAATGAGTCTCTGTGCAGGTGCACACAAGTCATACCTGTGAAGTTTAAGTGCATTATACGTATGCCACGTAACATCCTGATTATTTCCATCTCATTTCACCCGTGTATACATTTGAGAAGAAGCACCTCCTGATGAATAACTCTGGTATTTATGCAGAGTGCCGGTGATAAATAAAATCCATTGAGTTTGGATCTTCATACCGGATGACTCTTCTCTCCCTCTTCTTAGCCATCTCTCTTCCACTGATGCGGCCTTCTTTTCAATCCCGCACTCTCCTCACTCCCTCTTTTATTTTTCTTTTCCGTTCGGGTTTCACTCCTTCTTCCTCACTCCCTCTCACTCTTTCTCTTAAAGTCCCTCGACTAGTGGCATTTTTTTTTTCTCCTCTTGAATAAATTTTTGTGCCTTTTTATTTTTCGTTTGGAAAGAGGCGCGCGCTCTTGTCCCTCCCTTAACCCGAGAGATTCCGTTGTGCTCACACACTCGTTTGGTCCGGACCCAGCGGCATCAGGTCAACGCCCCAGTGACCAGCGCACCTTGTCCATCCACTCTCCACATCTTCCTCCTCACACTCTCGTCATGTGTGATATCTCTCTCTCCTCTCGTTTCCATTGAAATTTTGGAAACTGACGCTGTCGAGACCCTTAATCCAGTCACTACACCCAAAACATTTATCATCTTCAGGAAAATTCATGCAACTCCGGAATTCTATGATAATGAAAATTAATGAGCACGAAGTTGGACGAATGCATAATTTTTTTCAACTACTCTAACGATATTCATGGAGTCACCGTGATAGACACTCCATCGGAATGTGTGATAAATCGATTTCAGTAAATACTGACCATTTTTCTGCAATCGATTATGATTGTGATTTATTGATGACTTTTAATAATGTTGTGATAGCAAGTACTCGAAGCTTAATGAATCCGCCATTCATTCATTAATCGTAGAGAAGTAATTCAGGCTTTTACAAGAATGGACTGATTTACCTGTATGTGAATTTTGGGGAAGAATTACCACTGGAAATAATTTTTTCTCATGGAATAAAAAATATTTCCACTCTGTGCGGATTTTTTCCGTGGTTTGACGATGTCTGATAATGAATGATGCTGCAATGACCAACAGCTATTTATCAAGCGGTGGTCAGGTCGACAGAGAGGCTCGTTATCCTGCCGAACGACGGCCCATTCATAAAGATGATCTGTTACAATGCCAACATACATAAAAATTCGAAAAAAAGAGTCAGAGAATAAAGATTTCTCGGAATAAAAGAGGATAAAAATTTATTCGAGAATATAAAGATCTTGAAATGTAGTTTGTGTTGCTGTATAGGTGGTCATGAAGTCACAAAGGGATCACAGATTGTCCTCTGGATTGAATTGCAGTGTCCAGTTGTCTCGCACGATTCTCCACCGGCCATTACCGATTTCACAATTTTTATGATTCAAACAATTTTCCCTTGACCAAAGTGTCGTACCAGTAGACGTGTCTGCAGCTCGATTCGATCTCTCTGATTCCCTCTCTGTTGCTCCATCACGTATGTAAGAGATTTACCGGCTATTACTCGGCGAGTGACGCCCCGGTAAATAGTAATTACCTCGGGATGACCACCCCCGCGGATCGTGCAATTGAAGAAACACCCGGTGAATTTAATTCCAAAGTGCCGCGGTCCAACTCTGATACGGCACTTTATTTTGTCATTGGTAGATTTTATTTAGTCCATACACCGCGAGAATTATGGTGTACTGTTGGGTTATATGGAGTTGTATCAACTCCCGCACCAGTTGCGTGCAATTCTCGAGGACGATACGCACGTTTCATCATGTGGAATCCCTCCCCAGTCACCGGTGCAGGTCTGCATGTCACTTTTCTCTCACTGTACATCGTCGACAGCATCCGGCTCGTAAATTCCCCCGGCTGTCTTGTACTACTAATAATGACCACCCGTGACACTCAACCCACCTGGGATTTCCTACAGAAAATTTCAACGTAATGACCTTTGCCAGAGCTATGCTAATCAACTTGATTGTTAAAAATTTTATTGATCTTTAATTGCGTTGATAAAATTCTCGTGTGCTTCAGCGAGGATCACTTGTGAAAGGTGAAGCGTTGAATTTTTATCCACTCATCGATAGACGTATTCAATCCGTT